AGCAACCTCCAACTCCTGGGCTCAAGCGAGTCTCCTGCCTCCGCCTCCCAAGTAGCTGGGACCACAGGTGCCTGCCACAACACCCGGCTATTTTTTGATTGCAGCCGTCATTGTTGTTTGGCAGGCCCCGGCTGGATTTGAACCTGCCACCTTAGGTGTACATGGCTGGCGTCTTAGCCACTTGAGCCACAGGCGCCGAGCCTCAAAGTGGTTTTGATTTGCATTTCTCTGATGATTAAGGATGATGAGCATTTTTTCATATGTTTGTAGGCCATGCACCTGTCTGTTGAAGTCTCTTGCCCACATAGAAATGGGGTTATTTATTCTTTTCTTATTGATTAGTTTGAGTTCTCTGTAGATTCTAGTTATCAGATCTTTGTCAGAAGCATAAAGTGCAAAAATCCTCTCCGATTTTGAAGGTTGTCTGTTTGCTTTACTTACTGTGCTCTTGGCTGTGCAAAAGCTTTTTAGTTTGATCAGATCCCAGTAATGTATTTTTGGTGTTGCTTCAATTCCCCGGGGGGTCCTCCTCATAAAATATTCTCCCAGGCCTATTTCTTCAAGCGTTTTCCCTGCACTCTCTTCTAGTATTTTTATAGTTTCATGTCTTAAATTTAGATCTTTTATCCAATGAGAATCAATTTTTGTTAATGGTGAAAGGTGTGGGTCCAGTTTCAGTCTTCTACAGGTCACCAGCCAGTTCACCCAGCACCATTTGTTAAATAGGGAGTCTTTCCCCCATTGAATATTTTTGATAGGTTTGTCAAAGATCAAATGATGGTAAGTAGCTGGGTTCATCTCTTGGTTCTCTATTCTGCTCCATAAATGTACTGCTCTGTTTTTATGCCAGTACTATGCTGTTTTGATCACTATAGATTTATAGTATAGCCTGAAGTCTGGTAATGTGATACCTCCTGATTTGTTCTTATTTCTGAGAAATGTATTTGCTATTCAAGGTTTTTTCTGATTCCATATAAAACGAAGTACTATTTTTTCAAGTTCTTTGAAGTATGACAATGGTGCTTTAATAGAGATTGCATTAGATCTGTAGATTGCTTTGGGTAGTATGGACATTTTAACAATGTTGATTCTTCCCAGCCATGAACATGGTATGTTTTTCCATTTGTTAACATCTTCAGCTATTTGTTTTCTCAGAGTTTCATAGTTCTCCTTATAAAGATCTTTCTTTTTTGGTTGCAGCCATCACTGTTGTTAGGCTGGATTCGAACTCGCCACCTTAGATGTATGTGGCTGGCGCCTTAGCCACTTGAGCCACAGGCACTGAGCCGTATAGAGATCTTTCATGTCCTTTGTTAGGTAAATTCCCGGATATTTCATCTTTTTTGGCACTATTGTAAAAGGAATAGAGTCCTTGATTGTTTTTTTCAGCTTGACTATTGTTGGTATATATATAAGCTACTGACTTGTTAGTATTGATTTTGTATCCTGAGATGCTGCTGTATTCCTTTAGCACTTCTAAGAGTTTTGAAGTTGAGTCCCTGGGATTTTCCAGGTATAGGATCATGTTATCAGCAAAGAGTGAGAGTTTGATCTCCTCTGACCCTATTTGGATACCCTTGATCGCCTTCTCTTGCCTGACTGCGATGGCTAAGACTTCCATTACTATGTTAAATAGCAGTGGAGACAGTGGGCATCCTTGCCTTGTTCCTGATCTGAGTGGAAATGATTTCAATTTTACACCATTCAATATGATATTGGCTGTGGGTTTGCTGTAAATGGCCTCTATCAGTTTAAGAACTGTTCCTTCTATACCTATTTTCTTAAGAATTCTGATCATGAAAGGATGCTGGATATTAAAGGCTTTTTCTGTGTCAATTGAGAGAATCATATGGTCTTTGTTTTTTCTTTTATTGATATGGTGTATTATATTTATAGATTTGCGTATGTTGAACCAGCCCTGTAACCCTGGAATAAAACCAGCTTGATCATGGCATATAATTTTTTTGATGTGTTGTTGAATCCTGTTTGCTAAGATTTTATTGACTATTTTTGCATTGATATTCATTAATGATACTGGTCTATAATTTTCTTTCTTTGTTGGATCCTTTCCTGGTTTG